GACAGAGCCTTGAACTAAAAAGTTACACAATGCACCTTTAACAGAAAAAAAAAGAAAGAAAGAAAATGCTGACAGTATGTAATAAATGGAATTATGAATCACACAGCTGAATAACGCATGAGGGTAAATATTGTCAGAGCAAGGTGTTAGTCCTAAAGATGTTATAACAGTGTATACTGTGTTGGCCCATAGCCTGATTAACTTGTAGTACATTCCATTCTTTGTACAACCTGCTCGCGCCTCATAACTGGAGCCAAAATGGCCGCTCGGCAGAATGATTCATGTGTGCAGTTTCTCATGTTCCTCTCTGCCTCACCGCTGTCCATCTATCTTACACTTCTCTCTGGGTGCGGACCAGCCCCATCCTTTCCACTCGTAAAATACTTGTGCTTATATTTGCGTTTTGGCACAACTCAGCGCTGCATTCCAGCACAATGACTTATGGGAAATATGGTCTCCCAAACAACACAGAACTAAGCCTGTGCTGAGCCTGACGCAGGTCAGCTGGATGTGAATGCGGAGAGAGAGAGAGCCAAGGAATTTTTCAGACTATTTTATGAATCCACTATTTCACACAGAGAACATAATTACCTTTTTCACCCGCAAAGTTTGGGTTACATGAACATCTCTGGATTACACAGAACTATTAAGATTCCCCATAGGAAAAAAGATCACAATTGGAATTTGAGGTGAAAAAAAGCAGACGTTATGAGAATTTTTTTCTCAGATTGCAACATGTAATATCACCAACCCCTCAGCGTATATTGATTACTACAGTATATTTGTTTTGAGCACAGGCCATCTGCCTTGTGTGACACTACTGCCTTTATTTATCAATACTTCAGACAGAGATACGTATACTGCCTGGAAAGACACCTGAAAGCTGGACCTCTTCCAGTATTTGAAGTTTAAATATAAATGCATACAGTTCAAACCTTTTTGATCTATCCTAGTTTCTGATATGTCTGAAAAGCTTTTCTGAGGACTATAACTTTGCATAGCTCACTTCCTTCTCTGCTTTGCACCCCATCCCTCTCCCTCTCCTCTTAATCCCCCTTCTGACCCCTGCACACATTCCTTCTTTGGACATGGGCCGATCTTGTCTTTAATAGCCCACTAGACACAGAAAGGGGCTGCCCGGATAATCAGACCTTCTTCTAGTCTCTAAAAAGCAAAGGGGTTGACCTGAGAGCATGCCTGGCAGGATAAACCCAGGGTTAAAAAGCCAGCTTCACCTTGAGAGGCCACTACGGAGCGCCTGGGAACCCACAGAAAGCAATTAAAAGTATTGATGGGACTTCAATAGCTCTTAAACAGACACTGGCAGACACCCCGGGCCAAGCAGCACACTAATCTATCCCCCATCACAGCCTCATTTCTGTCATTCACGGAGTTTTTACGCGGCATAAAGAGCCACATGCATTTACAGGAGAGGCAGACAGGGGGCAGCAGAGAGAAGGGTGAATGGGAAATTTGATCGTGAAGACAAAAAGTGAAAAACGTCATCGGTCAGGGCATTGCAATTCATCAGTGTTGGTTGGACTTTGGTTGGTGGTTAGATAGCATCGTTGCCATTTGTTCAAGAACTCAATACTAAACTATTTTCTGCTCTATGTTATAATGTTGTTTCCTCATCAAAAACATACCCAGAGCTGTGTTTTGTATCATCATGTGGTAACACCGTGGACTGTATAAAAGAAGTGGACTGACAGGAGAGAATCTGGAGCCAAGTTCTATATTATGAATAGGATTTTTTTGACAGACAAAACAGCAAAAAATTGCTGGTTAATACGAACATTTCAAGACCAAAATGACGAGGCTCACTGCAGCAGTTTCAGAGAGAGAGGAGCGACAAGATCCAAATGTAAGTCAATTGGAGCCAGGGTCAGAAGGAGCCGGAAGAGCCTCCTGGTGAACTTCATATCTGGCAAGCAGCAGCTAGAGCGTCCACTTATGTATGTCCACTCATATATACAATCTATGTGTAATGCTCTACTGTGTTTTTAAACTCCATACACTTTCACTTGAATCATTTGGAAAGTCCAGGAATTTCCATTCTCTACTGAACTAAAGGTAAAATGTAGCTGTTTACTACCACTACATGACATCACAAGGTGGAACACAGCCTTTTCAGCTTTGGACTCATACTGCAGAATATCAGAATAAACATGTGTGAATGAAACAAAACACAATTCCAGGTATGTTTTTGAGGAGGTAACAGCATTGTAACATGGTTTAAAGCTCACACGAGTCAATTTTACACAAAAAGTACATTTTGTTTGAGCAAAAGAAGGTTGCATTATGTTACATGGATAAGAGACTGGTTGGTTTACAGTGGTTTACAGTAAGGAGTATCAACTAGGGTGTGTTATTTTCAGAGTAATGCCTTCATTCTGAGGCAAGAGTTGTGTCACGACTAAAAAAGTTACTTGATGAATGAATCGCAAAACATTCAGTCTAAAAACTTTTATCCATTTCGCATAGTTCAATCTTCTTTTGCTATGGATCCTAGTAGGGCTGGGTATCAATACAGATACAATGCATACCTTGATAGATAGGCTTCAATACAAAACGTTTTTTGATACAGTGCACTTTGGATTCAGTACGAGTCGATACGATAAAGCAAATCATTATGGTTCAGTGAAAAACAAAGGCAAAATTATGGCTGTGATACTAAAAGTCCACTAAGTCCACTGAGTTAATATGAAAAACGCCCATTTTACTCATCAAAAAGGTGAAAATGTCAACACAATTGCAGCTCTTACACAAAATTATTTAGTAAAATATGCCTAAAAAATACTCTTGGCTATATATCGATACAACAGCCCATGATATCAATACTGTATCATCAAATTAAATGATACGATATATTGATATTTCAATATTTTTGCACATCCCTAAAGCCAACCTGGACGACTGAGGGATTACGCAGACATGTCCCTTATGTTAAAGACTTTCCCGTGCTGCGTCACATGCAGTGTTGGGAGTAATGTATTATAAAAGTAATGTATTACAGTAATGCGTTGATTTTTGCTGTAACGCAGTAATGTAAGGCATTACAGGGGGAAAAATTGTAATATTTTACTCGGTACAAATGTGAGTAACGCGCGTTACAATGCTTTTTTAACCTGGATTGAAGTGGTGGGTTTTTCTTCATAGAAATTCGCTAAAATCACCGTGAAATCAGCAGCGGTGAAACGCCGGAGACGCGGCCGGATAGACCTTCAGTTAACCACGGGTGAAAGGACCGACCCAGAACTCTACGCTGTTTAGACCTGGTTTAGACCTGGGTCACTTCTGGTTTAGACCTGGTTTAGACCTGGTTTAGACCTGGTTTAGTCGTCCCTCGCTCTAACGCGATTCACTTTTCGCGGTCTCGCTGTTTCGCTGATTTTTAGAATTATTTTTTTGTGCAATTTTGCATGCCTTTTGTTTTTAGTGTATGAACACGTATTGCGTTCCTTCCCGCTGTGTCCTGATCGGCTAAGGGACTCCTGTCTCCTCAGTACAGTACAGAATATGTTCAGCTGCCAAATTTAAATAAATGTTCAATCTGTATCAGTGTGATTCTGAAGTGCTGTATGTCTGCAAGTTTTCTCTCCGACAAAATCCACAACGTCGACGAAATGTTCTGCACCGACAAAGTCTCCTGCGCTCACACCCAAAAGACAGAGGAAGATGCAAACCATTACACAAAACGTTGGACTTCTGGACACGTTGAAGGAAGGTAGAAGTTACGCGCTGTAGCAGAGTTTTTGCACCGGGTCTTGTACCCGCAAATATTTGCTGAAATCAGGACCGCGAGCCCCCGCCAGCAGGGTCCATGAGGTGCGGAGCAGAGCCGCTCCTTTCTCCTGCGGTCACCTTCGAGCCCATCCTGACAGTGAGTCCTGTTTTAGTCCTAGTTCAGTTCTGGTTTAGTCCTCCTCTTCAGTCCTGGAATCAGTCTGAGGTTAGTCCTGTTATAGTCCTGGTTTTGTCCTGGTTCAGCTCTGGTTTAGTCCTGGTTTAGACCTTGTTTAGTCCTGGTTCAGTGCATATACGGCTCAAAAGTTCAGCTTTTTCGCAGTTATTTTGGTGAGAGTAACTTAAAGTAATGCAATAGTAATGTAATGCCTTACATTTTAAATGCAGTAATATTGTAATGTAACGAATTACTTTGAAATGACAGTAATAAGTAATAAATAACGCATTACAGTTTTAAAGTAACTTGCCCAACAGTGGTCACATGGTAAACAGTGTTTTGCTGTTGAACAAGGTTTGTATAGAATTTGAGCTTAATTAAGGTTTAGGGAAAAGTACAGTAACAAAGCTAAAAATCTATACAGATTGCGTGATTGATTGAGAGATTTGTTTTTATATTGAGTTAGTGCCAAGAGAGAAAAAATATTGTAACCAACAGAAAAGCATTTCTCGAAAAGGAGTGGGAGTGGCAAATTAAAGTACAACATTGAGCAACTTCACTCCTATATATTCTGTCCAGTTGCCAAGTAAAGCAGATAGAAACAAAAAATGATGCAATTGAAGCCTATTACGGGTTATAGTTTCTTGTTATAGGAGTCATTTTGACCATTCAGAAGACATTGATTTAAAATTGCCAAATATCATGGCAACGATCCCGAGCTCTCATCATTCTTAAACCCATGGATAATAGGAAAGCAGCATTCTGACACGGAGAGTCCCAGACCATTCGCACAAAACAGTCAGCGTTTACATCAGCATGACAAACCGATGAAGACAGATTATAGAAGAGACCACAGACTGCGCTCCTATGACATCACAGGGAGGGAGAAGGGAGTATTGGCTTACTCTCAGGATCAGGGCCATCCCAATACAACTGTGCTCCCAAAGCTTTCCAAGAATCATTCTGTACTGATTTACTGTATAGTACTTTGTCGGCCAACCTGTAAAGTAGTTTGGCTTTCGCTGCTATCCTAATTGCACGACAATGCATCCACATCGACAGCCGCTAAAGCTAAACAAAGAAGCTAATCACTCACCTTTGCACTGGTTGGTGTTCTTGTCCAGAATGGCCTTAGTTGACACTATTTTCCCGTACCTGTAAAGAACAAGAAGAAACATTTAGGCTGAGTTCTTCTCTCAAACCGAAAACACTGTTCCAGCTTGTGATGTGGTAATAAGAAAAGCACTTCACTGTGTTTTTAAACTCCATCCACCTTCACGAGAATGGTTTTGATCATTTCAGCCCTAGAATTTCCAATCTCTTCTGAACAAAAGGTAAAAGGCAGCTGTTAACTTGAAAACTACCACTTCATGACATGGTGGGATAGAGCATTTTAAGCTTTGGATGTAGACAGACTAATAATAAAGGGTTAATCAAACACGTGTGAATGAAACGAAACACAACTCCGGATATATTTCATTATAACATGACTTAAAGGTGCACTATATAACAATTTGGTTAGGGGTCTGTCAGCTGCTTGTTTCTATGGATATGTCATTGCTTTGCCTGGAATGTTCCGCAATATGACATTAAACAACTCTACATTCCATTTATTAAATTACAGGTGGTTTTATAGCTCAAAAATACAATCCAACAGGCATTCTGACTGTGAGTCCACAGATCTGACCAGTCTGTGTATCATTCATTCATTTGTTTTTCAATATAAAACCAAAAATATATATATATATATATATATATATATATTTTCTTCATTATTTGTCTCCAAAACCAAAATGAAAAAAACAACAACAGATAACCATTTGTTTTTTTTCAGTTTTCGATTTAGTGTTTAAATGAATAATGAAAAAACAGAAAAACTGACTGAACCAGGACTGAACCAGGACTAAAACAGGACTAAACCGTTCTCAGTCTCGGTCTCAGCCCTGGTCCGGGACTCAGTACTGATCTGGTCATGGTCTGGTTCCGGTCTGGTCCCGGACCTGGTTCAGTCCTGGTCCAGTCCGTATGTGGCACAAAAGTTCGGCATCACAGTTTAAGTCATGGGTATGGGAAACAGCTGTTATCCATTTTATCCATTATTCATTTAAACACAAAATCGAAAACTGAACAAACAAATCGTTATCTGCGTTTGCATTTTGGTTTTGGAGACAAAAACAAAACAAAACTACTATTTTCTTCATTATTTTTCTTATTTTTGGTTTTATATTGAAAAACGAATGAATGTTACATAGATTCTGACCTGTAACTTCGCCAGGTTTGGTTTCCATAATGATAGAACGTTTTAATACCGGACCATCCACCATAAAAGTTACACAATGCACCTTTAAATCTCACATGAGTCAGTTTTGCGTAATAAAGGACCTCTGAATGTTTTATGTTATTTTAGTTGACACTATTTTCCTGTACCTGTAAAGAACAAGAAGAAACATTTTGAGAAGATTTTAACAGCCAGAATTCATGGGCGATTAGTGTCTCGTGGTGCTGAGAAGATGTTTTACTTCCATACTCGTTGCCATTTAGTTGCAACCAACAATTTGCAGAGTGCCCAAATGTCAGAGTCCATTGGAAGTGGAAAGCACTTGAGGTTAATAACATTATGTGTACGCTTGACTTCAAACCAAAGTGTGCCCCCCTGACATTTCCCACAGTCACTGAACATTTGCAAAGGTCTTAAGGCTCAGAGACACAGCGAATAGGCCACAGGTTAAAGCAGAGTTTGGGTATGTTTTAAACGGCCCGTATTACACAATTTTCTGATCTGTTATAATGTTGTTTCCTCATCATAAATATAAACATTCCTGGAGTTGGGTTTTATTTCATTCACACATTCACATTCACACAAAACCCTGCATATTTAGTTCTTTTCTCAAACTGAAAACACTCACTTCTGCCTCGTGATGTCATATGGTAATACAGAAAGTTCTCCACTGTGTTTTTAAACTCCACACACTCACTCTAATCATTTGGATAATTTCAGACCTGGAATTGCTGATCTCTACTGAACTAAATGTAAAAGGCAGCTGTTAACTTGAAAACTACAGCTTCATGACATCACAAGGTGGAACAGAGTATTTTGAGCTTTGGAGATGTAAACAGTCAAACAATAAAAGATTAAAATATACATGAATGAAACAAAACACAACTCCAGGTATGTTTCTGATGAGGTAACAACATTATCACATGGCTAAAAGCTACTTTACATAATATAGGACCTTTAATACACAATAAAAATGGTAAACTTTTTGATTAATTACTGCTGTAAGGAAAGTGCATGTGAAGTCTAAGTGAGATCATATTTTATTAGTCAAGTCTTGTGATGTGTTGAAATTTGCAGGTTTGAGTGAAATTTTATTTGATTTAAAGGTGCACTGTGCAACTTTTCTGGGGAAAGGTCCTTCTGTGAATAGGGGCGACTCTCCACAGATCTGAACTGTAATGTAGTGTAATGCTGTAACCTGCTTCTGATAGATATACAGTAGATTTAATCTATACTGTGGAACATTGTAGGCAAAGCAATAACATTTCCATGGAGACAATCAGGTAGCAGACCGTCCATCAGAACAATTACTCAGTGCACCTTTAAATCTAATCTGTAAAACTATGGAAATACAGTAACACAACAAGGTGCACTATATAAATCATCCAATGAATAAGTTGTGTTTGTAAGATACCGGCTTTTATCAGTTGTATTTTATTTATATATATATATTTGTAATTTACTTTCCTGAGTGAGAGAGTGAGGGTGGGTGGGATAGGGAATACCTTTCAAGATACTGTCAAATTCTGTGGTATATTGTGCTGTTGCAAAAATCAATAAATATATTGCTCCAAAAAAAAAAAAAAAAAAAAAAAAAAGTACACAAAGTAACTTTCGCTTTCCAAGGAGATGCTATTTCTTTGCCTGGAATGTTCCAGAGTACCTCACTATAGTTAAACACACAAGCAGGCAAAGTTACAAGACAGCTCTGTGGAGAGACAACTCGCTCACAAGAATGTATACTGCAGTGTTTGTCACTGTATTTCTTTCTTTCTTTGAACAATAAAAACAACTGTAATTAAATAAATATATGGTTCTTGCATTACTGTAGTGCAGGTAAAGCAAGAACAGCTTAGAAACAAGCAGAATTTAGTGGGCAGTACTTCCACAGTTTTATGTCTTTTTAGTCCCATACAACTATTATCTATGCCTCGTCTTTATCACCATCGTACTGTTCAAGCTCTAGTACTTATGCAGGACTAGGAGGCAATATTGTGCTTTTTAACTACATGAAAAGCCCCCTCGCTGAGTAGGGCAGGTTAAGCTGACAGGTGTGGTGCATGCAGAGTATCTTATTAATTCCCACAGACGGAGTGACCATACTGTTTGAATGACAGTGAGTTATTCCGCGTGCTTGTCTCAGCTAAATCGGCCTCCTCTTTTTACCCCTGAATCCTGTCACTGCAGCATGTTTATAGACCTGGATATGGGTGAAACAGACCTGTACACTCACAGCATTTCAAGTGTACATAGATGTATTATGGTGACAGCACAAATCTCCAAGCTGACAGGAACTTATTTTGCTCAATGGCACAAGATGCAAGGCAAGCCAAGGTGAGTAATATACAAGTGCCATCAACAAGATGATATTAAAGGTCCTATATTATGTGAATTTGACTCTTGAGCTTTTAGTCATGAATGTTGTAACAGACCTGGAGTTGTGTTTTGTTTCATTCACACATGTTTGAAGAATCTTGCATTATTAGTCTGTCTACATCACATTGGAAATTTACATAGTGGAGCACTTCCTGTATTACCACGTGACATAACAAGGTGGAACTGAGTAGGGTTTTTTTCTGTTTGAGAGAAGAACTAAGCCTAAATATGCTGGGTTTGTGTGTTGAAAAGTATATATTTTTGATGAAGAAACATATTAGCTTGATTCATCAGCCGATTTCACTTTGTGGAAACCGTCTGACCTCGCAGCATTAGAATTCGTTCGCTTGACCGTAGGCAGACACTTTTTTTTTTAATTTAACCAATCACTGCAATTTGGTCGTGACGTATGTAATGCGCCGCTAATGGGGCTAACTGGTATATTAAGCTTTTCCCAAATCTCGTAGGAAGAAGGGCAATAACATCTTTCCCCTTGATGAAATTCACCAAACATTCTCTTTCTTCCGGCTTAAAATCCTCAATCTCGAGAATCATTGTAAACACACAATGTTTGGTTTTGTCTACATCCATCTCGACCGCTTTGTTTACTGTTGTGATGTACCACAAAAGTGACGCAGACATGGCTTCACAGCTCTTCGCTGATTGGCTGGTGCCCAAATTCGCACTTCCAAGGTTTTTACGTACCGTCTAGTGTATTCTGATTCCTGACCAGGTCGCTAGACAGAAATGAAATTGAGAGGAGTCATTAGGTGGCGCCAACCTGGCTACAAAATTATAACATAGATCAGAAAATAGCAAAATATGGGCCCTTTAAAATTGTGTTTTTGAACATAAGCAAAATATTAGCGTGGATTGTTGCGCGTAGAGGGGTGAGTAGTTCCTTGATCATATTTCTGATGAATTACAAAAAGTAGTTCTGATTATTATTATCATCAAGGAAATAAAAAATACATTGATACATACTTTTTCTATAGCGCTCCTTCTTACATATGTCTATCTGAACATACAGGGGAAGCAGTGGTGCATCCCGGCCCATATTTCAGCAGCAGGGGATAATTGTGCCATTTCTCAACGAGTGGCGGAGACTCTATTTACTGCCCGCTGCGGTGGGGTGGGTGGTGGATATGAACTGATGAGCTCCAGAGAGGAAAACTACCAGCCCGCACACAAATATAGATAGTGCATACAGAAGGCTACACACCAATCAGCGAATTGTCTCTCTCTCCACAGCAGATAAACAGGCCTCTCCAGCTATAGGCATCCATAATCTACGGCAACAGAAGAGGGCCAATGTTTGATCACACAGAGACGCACTCAAACACAAGGACTAGAGGAGCGCTAAGTGTTGGTTTGATCAGAGCCGTGCAGAGAGGAATCGAGGGAACAGCGGTGCTTCTGTTTTTGGGGGAAATTGTGCTAAAATAAGAAGCGAAGTTGAATGAGACACTACAACGTACCTTATTATACTGCGAGGCGTGAG